CAACATTTGGTACATGTAATTCCATTCTCTTCTAATACTTGTGGTTTCTTATCCTTTGAGTTGTTCAGAATTTTGCATTATAAACTAGGTACTATCAGACACTCTAAATTATAGTCAGATAGCCTAGCAGAACTCTATCTGAAGAAGAAAACGTGGAGGGCATTGTGCTGCTGCAGGTTAAGCTGCCACTTGGAGCACTCACATCTTAATCCAGCTCCCTACTAATGTCTAGCAGATGATGATGGTTCAAGGACTGGAGTCTCCACCACCCAAGCGGGAGACTTGGATCGAGTTCTACGTTCCTGGCTAAACTTGGCTGTTGTAGCTATTTAGAAAGTGAACCAGCAGTTGGTATACTTCTCTGTATCTCTTACTGTCACTCTGCCTTCCAAATAAATAAAGATTTCAAAACAAATAAACTTTTTCTAAATAATACATCTGAGAACCCATGCATATGCAGGACCACAGGGCACAAGTGAGCTGTACAAGCAGGTAGCCCAGAGCTCCTGCCACCCATCAAGGTTGCATCAAAACATCTCCTCTTGGCTGGCGCCGCGGCTCAATAGGCTAATCCTCCGCCTTGCGCCGGCATACCGGGTTCTAGTCCCGGTCGGGGCACTGAATTCTGTCCTGGTTGCCCCTCTTCCAGTCCAGCTCTCTGCTGTGGCCTGGGAGTGCAGTGGAGGATGGCCCAAGTGCTTGGGCCCTGCACCCCATGGGAGACCAAGGTAAGTACCTGGCTCCGGGCTTCGGATCAGCGCTGTGCGCTGGCCACAGCAGCCATTGGAAGGTGAACCAACGGCAAAGGAAGACCTTTCTCTCTCTCTCTCACTGTCCACTCTGCCTGTCAAAAAAATAAATAAATAAAAAATAAAACAAACAAACAAAAATATCCTCCTAGTCAAAAGGGAAAACAGCTTTGTGGTAACAAGGACTTACAAAGTCCTTGAGTGACAATGGAAAGAGAGAAATATCCCAAAGCATGAATCTTTGAGTGGTGCACCTAGAGATCAACTTTGGGTGCCACCTTACATATTCCTTAAGACTAAAAGTATACAAATCAGCTTTGGATTCTCCTTTCTCCATCATCTATTCTTATCAGTCAAAACTCTTAGTTATAAAATAACATAAAACTTAATTAAGCTACTTATTTTAAAAAGGGGAGTTAAGATAAGGATACAAGGATATTTTATAAATCTCCAGGAAAAGAATGAGATCAGGCCTATGGAAAATTCTAGTAACAGAGATTGGAATTACATCTGGACTCTCTCCAACACATCTCTGTTCCTCTCTGAATGTACTTTTTCCTCTCATTTTCCCCCATTTCCTTCTTTTCTGTATACACAGACTTTTTCTGCTTCTCTGGTAGAAACAGCATACGAAAAAAAGCTAGTCTACTGTGGTGGAATGAGAAGGCCATGCCAAGGTGGCCAATGTGGCCACTGGCAAGCGAGTGTCAGTTACTCAGGAATGGCTTTGAAACCCACCTGGCAACAAAGCCTGCCTGACAACAGGCTGTGATTGGTTGGGGCATAGACCGCCCCTTGACCACATTGGCTGGTCTTGGCTATATAAGATGTTGTTCCAACTGTAATAAATGAGTCTGCGGGCTACTCGCCTCAAGCCTGCTTTCACCCGACTCCCGGGGTCTGTGTGGTGACTCCACGCCTCTTGCCCCCACCACGCTGCTCCTCTCAGAAACGAATCCACTGCAACACTGTTGAGAAATCAACGGCAACAGTCTACCTTACTCATGGTTTTATAAAAAGAGGTTTTTGAAACCTTCATGGAAAATGTGTATTACTTAAAAACTATGCATAGATTTCAAAAATGTTTGCACCAAAATCTTCTATTTCCATTTTCTACAAATGTCTTGAAGCACACAGGTAATGATCCAGGTACATAAGAAACTAAATTTCTGAAATTCTGTATGAAGATAGATTCTCATGTCAAATACCTAACTGGCCTAGTTTAACCAGGTGTCTGCTCTTGGTCCAATCAACTTGGTACAGTCGCCTTATTTAAAACAGTTTTCATGGGATCAGATTTGCCTGAGAACTGTGTCAATGTGAAATGAACAAACAGATGTACTTTATAATACTCACCCTCTCTCTCCCAGTTATTCCTGCTGAAAACCTTAAAAACTCTGTTATTTATTATACAATTCTGTCACCAAAAAGTAATCTATTCATCCTTCAAAATTACTCTTGATTCTATTCCTTCTCCATTCTCATTCTCTTTATTACTTTACCAGAATGAGAGTTCAAAAAAGGGGTATGTTATTAAGTTGGCATTTCTATTATTTTTATTTATTTGAAATGTATAGTTATAGAGGGAGACAGAAGCAGACACACACACAGAGAGAGAAAGAAAGAGAGAGAAAAAATATCTTCCACCCACTGGTTCATTCCCCCAGTGACTACAATGGCTAGGGCTGGGCCAACGCCAGGAGCCAGGCGCTTCATCTGGTCTCTCACATGGGTCCTGGGGCCCAAGTATTTCTTCCAGTGCTTTCCCAGGCACATTAGCAGGGAGCTGGTTTGGAAGTGAAGCAACCAGGACTCAAACCAGCACCCATACAGGATGCCCAGGACAAAGATGGCAGTTTTACTTCTATACCACAACACCAGCCCCAGTTGGCATCCTTTAACTGGCAATGAGAATAAACTTTTTTTTTTCATGTTAGACATTTTAGTATTGTTTTACTAGTCTGTCTGACGGACTGAATTGTGGTATGCCCCCAAAATCCATATGCCAAAGAGCTAACTCCAGTGTGAGTGGATTTGGAGGCAGGACCTTTAAACAGGTAAGTAAAGTTAAATGAAGACATCAAGATAGGGCTCTAAACTGAAAGAACTGGTTTCCTTGTAAGAGGAGGAAGGGGGGCGGTGTGCACAGAGGCGAGGCCATTTAAGAACACAGAAGGCAGGCTTCTGCAAGCCAAGGAAAGAAGCCTCAGAAGAAAACAAACTCGTTAATATCCTGATATTGAACTTCCAGTCTCCAAAACGGTAAGAAAGTAAATTTGTGTTGTTTAAACACTCAAGTTTGTGGTATTTTTGTTATGGTAGTCCTAGAACATTAGTAGTTTCTTTCTGTGTTCCTTATCTATTTTTTTTTTTTAATTTTTTGACAGGCAGAGTGGACAGTGAGAGAGAGAGACAGAAAGGTCTTCCTTTGCCGTTGGTTCACCCTCCAATGGCCGCTGCGGCCGGCGCACTGCGGCCGGCACACCGCGCTGATCCCATGGCAGGAGCCAGGTACTTATCCTGGTCTCCCATGGGGTGCAGGGCCCAAGCACTTGGGCCATCCTCCACTGCACTCCCTGGCCACAGCAGAGAGCTGGCCTGGAAGAGGGGCAACCGGGACAGAATCCGGCGCCCCGACCGGGACTAGAACCCGGTGTGCCGGCGCCGCAAGGCGGAGGATTAGCCTAGTGAGCCGTGGTGCCAGCTCTTATCTATTTTTGAGATGTCTGTTTCTTCTAGTAAAAGCTCTCTACAGAATACTCCCTCATAAATGTTATAAATATCTTTCCCAGTTTGTGTGCCCCCTTCATGAACTCTTTTGGTTTTGTTTTGCATTACACATTGACATTTTTAAAAATATAATCAAATTTTTCAAACTTTTCCTCTCTGGTTGCTGCACCTGAAATTATGCTTAAGAAATATCTTCCCATCCCCAGAATTATATCTATATTTATCTGTATTTTCTTCATCTTTTTTTCTTTTTGGTCTCACTCGAATGTTATCTTCATCCTATAAAATGCAGATCAATTTTTAATATAGCTAAACAATTATCCTTATATTATTTATTCAGTCATTTTCTCACTAATATGAAACCTTTTATCATATCCTATTTGCTTATGACATTCTTTCATACAATAATTCATTTTGAAGGCTGGATATTTCCACATTTACCATTAGAAAAAAATGAATTTTCCAGCAAATTTAAGAAACATTATTTTGGAAGTCTTGAATTGTAAAATTACTGGGGAAAGTTCTTATAATTTTTAAATTAAAATGAGGTCATGTAATTGTGTTTACCTAACAATAAACATAAACATAGGAATTTTCAGAATTATTTTAACCCCGTGATGCACCAAATTGCCTTGAAGGAGGCTATCACCTGATTTAGTAGAAGTATCACACGAATCACAAAGGAGAAAAACAGGAGGGAAGAAACGCACGAGGATTCTCAATTGGCTTTTTCTCTTTCAAGAGAATGAGTAGTTTTTACCTTTTTTTAAATATACATATAAAGTCTCTATTCCTCCTCAATTCTTCTGATAAAATTTAGGTAGTAATGCGGCGGGTGAGGGGTAGCCGAGGAGGGGCTCTTCTTTTTTTTTTTTTTTTTCCACCAAGATCACCGTTTATTATTGGAAGAGAACTCACCTAATGGGCGGAAGTCGGAGAGGGGCAGTTGAGGGTTCTATCAAAGAGGCTCTCTAAATAAAACGTACAGACAAGATTTAAGTCGTACAGGTCCAGCAAAATCAAATTGCGTATGCTCTGACCTCGCTGGAAACTGTCCTGTCCATGTTCAAGGCTAAAGAAAATTTGGGAGCCTTGAAAATTCATGCCACACTACACACACTGGGCACCTTTGAACAAGGCAGCAAAGGTGACAAACATTATCCGCATCGCTTTGCAGACCACAGAAACTGAGATTCCAGCATCAAAGACTGACCACGTACAGGAAAGTCAAGACAGACGCGGCGGGGGCCAATTACACAGGGCCGGAAGCCCGCATACGAAAGCAATCCCGCGGGCTTGGCCTCCCTTCTCGTCAACGCTCTCCGTGGTGCGGCGGGCGCAGGGCCGACCCCGAAGCTGTGCGTCGAAGGGCGGGCGGGGCTCACTGAGAGGTAGGCCACGAAGTCCGCTAACATTTTTTTATGGCCACGAGGAAAAACCTATCAAATCACCCTAACGACGCCCTCGGCTGAAGCCTGCTAGAGAAATTGCACTTCCACACCGCGTCCTTCGAGCCGTCAATAAACTCTCCCGCCTCTGAGTCGGTCCCGGCAACCTTTGCGCCGTGCACAGCCACGCCCGGGCGCGCCTGAGCCCCTTCGGCCGCCGTCAGTCTGGTGTTGCTATGGAAACCGCGCTCCCACGGCCATGTCGCTACAACAGGCTCCTCCGTCGCGCGTGTTCGTAGAATTGGTTCCTTGGGCGGACCGGGGCCGGGAGAATGTGGTCTCAGGAGAAACACTGCCCGGAGTCCGCCGCCCCCTCTCCTCTACACAGACCCAAACCGCCACCCGCGAGGTGCACGTAAGTGGCACCGCAGAGGTATCTGCGGGCCCAGACCGGGCGCAAGTGGCGGTACGAGTGAGCAGCACCAAGGAGGCTGCGGCGGAAGCCAAGAAGAGCGTTTGCCGACGCCTGGACTACATCACGCAGAGCCTTCAGCAGCGGGGTCTGCAGGTGAGCGCGCAGCCCTGGCGCCACTTGCTGTCGGACGGACGGCACACGGGGACCCTCAGATGCCGGGCCCAGGAGCCCTGGGGCGAGGATTACCGGGCTGAGGTTTCTGAGTGTTTAGGACGCCCTTGTCGCCGGGTATCCCAGGACGCATCCTTCCGTAGATAAAGCAATGGAAAAATCAAAGAATGCCAAGTGGGTAGGTTTTTTATTGGGAAGTATTTGCTGCAACGGTTTTGTTTTTAATTTTGAAATTATGAAAAGTTAAACGAGAAATGTTAGATGTGAACACCTGCCATGATAGGGTGCTGAACGCTAAACATATTTGATTTATTCCACACCGAGCAATTGGCAAGGAAAGAGCATAGTTTCCTTCCTCCTAACCATGAAAACTTTACCTGGAGTGGTTCTTCAGTGAGTTTTACAGACAGTAACATTGGGGTAAGGCTGTTAACTTTAAAAATTTAGCCTACGTATTGAAGATGTCACACATATGAAATACTTCTACTTACCAGAAATGTGCATGTTGTCAAACACCGCTAAACATCTCAACTTAAGCATGCTTCTAAGGAAGGAAAAAAAATGAACTAGCACACAGTAACCTTACTGTGCATTTTTAATAGCCCCATTTTCCAAATTTAAATAGGTTAAGTAATACTCTGAACTTTAGGGCAGTATTTGAACTCATGTGTTTCTGAAAACACACACTAGATTAGATCACTTTCAAATGTACTAGGCTCCAGATAATTAGAATAAAAGGAAGTTAGAAACCACAGAGGCCAGCTACCTGTTTCCTCACTTTACAGAGTAGGACCTTCCAGGGACACACTTGTGGCTCATCCAGGTGACACTGAGTTGGTAAAAGTGCACATTCTCCCTTCCAGTCTATTGGTAGAGATTTCAGATCCCGAAAAGCAAGTCTATATCTGGAAACATAAGTGTTTTTAAAAAAGTCATTTGGAAAAAAATTTGCATGAAATGATTTTACAATTTGAATTCAACTGCTAATTATAAATAACATGAATAAAGTATATTTAATATGAAGAAAAATACTTCCTGCAAAAACTGCTGCCAGGACACCACAATCCTGTTTGAATAATATAATTAATTCTTAAGTCATTTACAGAAAATGTAAACTAAGCTTATTTGGCTCTGAATTCTAGTAAGTAAGCCAAAATAAATTATTAAATTCAGCTCAGAGTGATTACATTAAGATTCAGTATTCTTTGTGAGACATAGAAGGACCAGTTATTTCTTCTAATCGAAGAAAGCAGTCATGTAGATTGAATAATACAAAATATAATTTATATTTTCAGGATAAATTTTGGGTCTTCACAAAGTCCTTTTCATGTTCAACTTTGCAGTCTTGGCATTGGAAGGTTTATAAACATCCATCCTCTGCTTAAAGGGCTCCTTATAATCCAAACTCTTTTGCTTAATAGATGAAACCGAACTCTTTATCCCCAATTCCTGTCATTTCTCTCCCCTCTTTGACAAGCTGACTTCTTTTTTTTTTCTTCAAAGAACCAACCCAAAGCTCACCTCCTTGACGATCCTTTCCTAACACTAATCTCTGCCAAGTGACATTTCATTCCCTTAACACCCTGTATTATAATTCTTGATTTACTTGTCTTCCATATTCTAAACCTCTCCAGAGCAGAAACCATTTGTCTTTCTTTTGCATTCATGGATATGTTCCATATATGTCATATAATGTATATTCAGAAAAAATGGGTTTGAATGAATAAAAGAAAAAAGGAATGAAAAACTACATACATAAATAATTATTTCAGCTATATTGTGGATCATAGAATTATGAGCTTATGTGAATAGATAACCCTCATTTTTGGGGTTGGCTTCAAATGTGTTCAAATTCTAAGTATTATTTACTCATTCAACCAACAAACATTTATTAAGTATTCCCTATCACTGTTCATGTTGAAATAACACTTAACATAACTTTGTCAGTCTGTTTGCACTGCTGTATTGAAATGCCACAGATTGGGTAGCATATAAACAACAGAAAGTTATTTCTCATAGTCCTGGCGACTGGGAAGTCCAAAATCAAGGCACCAGCAGATTTCATGTCAGCTGAGGTCCCATCCCCTTGGGCATAGATGGCTCCTTCTCTCTGTGTCTTCATGTAGTGAAAGGAGAAGGCAGTTCCCTGGGGCCTTTTTCATGTCTCATTCCTTATTCCATTCACGAAGGTCCCGCCGTCAAAGACTACCTCCTAATACCATCACATTGGTGATTAGACTTCAGCGTATGAATTTTGGGAGCACACATTCAAACCATAGCAATATGTAATTACTTAGTCTTCTATTTATATGCCCCCCATAAGCTTTAAGTTCTAGTATTGGCCAGTATTTCTCAACATACTGAAAATTGTATTTAAAAAAATATGTAATTAATGCCTTAGGTTTGCTGGGCACTAGCAGTACAGAATGAGTAAAACTCAGGCGCTCTACTGAGGGAGTCTCATGATAGGGACAGACTAATCTATATGGTAACTGCTGTGATGAAAATGTGTACATGATACAGTACAGTAGCATAAAATAAAAAGTAATGATCTTTTTATTTGAGGAATTCCAGAAGGATTCCATATCAAATTTTAAACAATGCTGAAAGGAAAGCATTCAGTTCCACATTAGATATCTCTCTCTCTCCCCTCTCCCCCCCCCGCCTTTGTTGCTCTGCCTTTCAAATAAATAAATGAATAAAATGAATTTTTTAAATAGTTGCGATTTTATTCTAATAGCTATAATTACCATCCTTGTCAAAATGAAAACCAAAAACAAGTATCCAAAAACAGTTACTAATAGTATACTGAAAGCAGTAAGAGGTTCCATGACACTAAATAAAATAGTTCTGAGGTTGTCACCAAGATAAATTTAACAGCCCTCCCCATCCTCGAATGACCACGTGAGTACAAGGCTGTGGAATGCAGGGTGACTCAAAGACAGGTGAGCCACAGGGATCTCTATTATGATTGTGCAGAATGGATTGCGGTTGGTTTTGTCACTGGCTTTCATGTTCCCAAAGGGAGCAGCCAATCTAATAGACCAACACTTAGGTGGTTACCACAAAACCTGCACTAGGCAGTCTTGCTGCTGTGTTCAAGTATTCTCCTCTTGTATTTTTAACTATTTTTCTTAAATGCACTGAATTCATTTTAAAAACCAACAACCATCAAATGGATCTTCCTCATGAGCATGCCCAGCTCTTAATTTAACACTTGGAGGCCTGGTGTCAATGCACCTAAGTCCCTTCTCAGGACTAAACAGTGCATTGGTTTTCTTTTTGAAATTAAAGAAAAAAAGCTGAGTAATATTGCATAGGGTACCAGAAACTGTCTTTGTTGAAACAGAACTATTTACATTAAATAAATACCTGGCAGCAGGCTGCATCTGCACAGGGACAGCATGGAGACTGTCATGGAGACTGCTTCTGACACTCAGGACCACCAACTCACACATTTGCCACATGCAAGGAAAGTGGAGGGCAGAGAGGAAGAAGTGGAGGTATTCTCATTCACTTCTGGCCCTGAAGCTGATTGGACAGCCAGTGCAGTCCATCATGGAGCCCAACCCTGTGGGGAGCAATCCGGACTAGACTAAGTTACTCGAATTAAGACTTATTCTATGCATCTGCTCTCCCACAATGTGGCGTTGGGAGAGAAGTAAACAGCTTCCGCACAGCTGCCTCCAGTTCAACTAATAAACTGTAGGACTTGCTCCTGATTGGAGGAGAGCAGCGTACTCGGCGTGTGGGCAGCCGAGTTAGGATTGGCGGAGGAGGACTATAAAGGAGGAGAGAGACGGCATGCACCAGGAACATCTATGGGGAACATCTAAGGGAACCCGTGCAGCCCCCGAGAAAGCCGGCCGGCGGTGTGCCGCTCCCCTGCGGAAGTGGGGAATGTGGCCAGGGGGAACTGCCCTTCCACGGAGGTGGAAGGGATAGTAGCCAACCCGGGAAGAACCAGCAGCAAACCCGGGGAGGGCCGAGCAGACGAAAGAACAGCGCAGGGTCCTGTGTCGTTCCTCCACGAAGAGGGGGAGCGACATAATGGTGCCGTGACTCGGATATGAAGCCTAGGCAGGGTTCTGTGTCGTTCCTCCACGAAGAGGGGGAGCGACACAACCCCACTGGTGACAAAGGTGGGGGGGAAGGTTCCAATTCCTAAGGGAGTGTAGCACTAGCTGATCTGTGATTTCAATGCATTCATGGTACTTGGGAAGTCCTGCTTGTTGGCAGACGGACACCAGGAGGACCACATCTCACAGCTCATCCTCAGCCAGCATCCTCATGAGTTCCTCCTGTGCCTCATTCACATGCTATCATTTCTGTCCATTGTAAAAATCAATCTCAGGTATTTTGGAAGTAGTGTTGCCATAGCTGCTGAATTTTGTCCTGACTACTCAGTAAAGATGATGTTCTTTTTTTTTTTTTTTAAGATTTATTCATTTATTTGAAAGGCAGAGTTACAGAGAGCAGGGAGAGAGAGAGAGAATGATAGTCCATCTTCTGGTTCATCCCACAGATGGCCACAAAGGCCAGGGGTGGACTAGGCAGGAGCCAGGAGCCTCATGCAAGTCTCCCACATAGGTGGCATTTTCTGCTGCTCTTCCCAGGCCATTAGCAGGAGACTAGATAGGAAGTGGAGCAGCTGGTACTTGAACCGGCACCCATATGGAATCCCAGCATCACAAGCAGTGGCTTTACCCACTAGGCCACAATGCCAGCGCCAGAAGCTGATATTCTTGTATTCAGCAGTCTCCACATTGAAACCTGTGGTGGCAATGGTGTCATGATTTCACCAAGCTTCAGCTTCCACAGAATAATCATCTTCCTTGCAGCACCCAGGCCTGCCAGCAGGATGTACATTTCCTTTTTGCCAAAATGGCCCTTGAAGAGGTTTGCAAAGATAGTCCCCATACTGTGGACAGTAGAAGCTACAGTAGCCACAAAGATCTGTGTGGCCACTGGTCAGATTCAGGCAGTGGTTGCATTCTCACAAGATGGCAGCTCTAAGTAAATATTGTTAAATATATATACAAATTTGCTTGTTTGCAAGGATGAGAGTAGCAGACAAGTTCATTTCACTTTTTTTTTTTTTTTGAAGGGCAAGCATTTAGCCTAGTAGTTAAGATTCTCACATCCCATACTAGAATCCCTGTTTCCATATCTGACTCGGTTCCTGACTATAGCTTCCTACTAATACAAACCCTGGGAGGCACCTAACCCTAACTTCAGGCAGATGATATATTTCTAATTTTAAGGGAATAACCTGAGATTCATATCACTTAGGACCAGACATCTCAAAAATCATATAACTAGAAGAAAAATTAGAACTCTGCCTTCTTATCTCCTGAGGTAGAAATTTTCATATTCTGTTTGTTGATCCATTGATTACTTTAATGGTTTTCTCCAGTTAGAATTTAACTATCTCAAGGAATCTAAAAATTGTCTTTAAAGGTGATGGTCCGAATGATCGGGTTCCTGCCACCCATGTGGAAGACCTAGACTGAGTTTCTGGCTCCCAGCTTTGGCCCACAGCTTAGACTGTTACGGGAATTTGGAGAGTGAACCACAAGATGGGAGTGTGCACTCTTTCTAAGAAATATAAATAATAAACCCTTTTGAAAAGTAATTAAGAAATTTAACTTTTTCACAATTGTGCACCCTATATTTTCCCAGGGAATTAAAATATACTTGACCCAGTTCAATGTTTCAGGAAACATCTATGTTATAATAATATTTACAGCATCCACTTTTTTTTTTTTAATTTGCCAGGTAGAGTTATATACAGTGAGAGAGAGAGAGAAGAGAGAAAGGTCTTCCTTCCGTTGGTTCACCTCCCAAATGACCACCACTGCCGGCGCTGCACCGATCTGAAGCCAGGAGCCAGGTGCTTCTTCCTGGTCTCCCATGTTGGTGCAGGGGCCCAAGCACTTGGGCCATCCTCCACTGCACTCCCGGGCCACAGCAGAGAGCTGGACTGGAAGAGGAGCAGCTGGGACTAGAACCTGGCACCCATATGGGATGCCTGCGCCACTGGTGGAGGATTAACCAAGTGAGCCACGGCGCCGGCCCCTACAGCATCCACTTTTGCTGAATGCTTTCTTTATGCCAATACTTTAATAATTTTGTATGGTATACATGGTATTAACCAGATTTTATAGAAGTAGAAAATAAGGCTCAAAAAAACTGAGTGACTTTCTTTACCAGCTAATATAAAAATTACTATAAATGGGAGCCAGCACTCTGCCATAGTGGGGCTAAGCCTCTACTGCAGTGCAGGCATCACATTATGGGCATCGGTTCATGTCTCGACTGCTCCTCTTCTGATCCAGCTCTCTGCTCTGACCTGGTAAAGCAGTGGAAGGTGGCCCAAGTGCTTGACCCCTGCAGCCACATGGGAGGCCCAGAAGCTCCTGACTTCAGATCTGTTCAGCTCTAGCCATTTTGAATTCATCTGGGAAGTGAACCAGAGGATGGAAGACTTTCTCTCTGCCCTTTGCCTCTCATTGTAACTCTCTCAAATAAATAATCTTTTTTTAAAAATTACTATAATGAAGTGACTAGTGAAATTTAAGCAAATATTACAGGTTTCTCAGTTTATTTTAGGTAAATTTTCAGAAAATTCTAAAGCATCAAAGTCATTTTTTTAATACTGTGTATCTTCCTGATTTTAATAAGTTTGAATTTCTGATTCATGTTTAAGAGTGATTTCATTTATCAGCCAAAGATTTAGTAATCACACTTTTTGTACTTTTCGTTTCAGACAGAAAATGTAACTGTGACAAAGGATTTTAGAAGAGTAGAAAATGCTTTTCACATGGAAGCAGAGGTTTGTACTTTTCTTAACAAATAATTGGAAACAGCATGACTTTGTGAGGATAATTTATCATTTATTTATATTGTTGAACTGAAATGTATACAAATATATACAAGAAATGCATCTCATACTTGATAAAAGATCATGTTTCTCAAAATCATTTTTGATGTGATGTATTTGTGCGAGCTTTTAAATTTAACAAGATTTGTGAGAAAAAGTTTAGTGGAATAAAAATAGCAAAAGAAATTTTTTTAATATTTTGAAAATTTTTTTTTTGAGCTAAAGAGAGACCTGCAATCAACTGGTTAAAACCCTTATTACCCATAGCAGTTACGGCGAGGCTAGGGCTGGAGCCAAGAGCCAGCAGCCAGGGGTACAATCTAGGTTTCTTAGCAGAAAGCTAAGAGACAGAAATCAGACCCAGGCACATTGTTGTGCAGCAAATTACCCTGACCAGCATCAGAGTTAAACAGAGAGAGAAAGAGAGAGAAGGAGAGGCAAAGAAAGAGAGGTCTTCCATCTGCTGGTTTACTCCCCAATTAGCTACAATGGCCAGAGCTGGGCTGAGCCAAAGCCAGGAGCTTCTTCCAGGTCTCCCACATGGGTAAGGGCCCAAAGACTTGGGCCATCTTCTACTTCTTTCCCAGGCCATAGCAGAGAGCTGGATCAGAAGTGGAGCAGCCATGTCTCGAACCGGCACCCATATGGGATGCTGGCACTGCAGGCAGCGGCTTTACCTGCTATGCCACAGCACCAGGCCCCAGCAAAAGGAATTTTTTAATGAAATAAAAATAGCATGAGAGAAATACTTTATTGCCATGTGAATAAAATTTTGATACTATTGATACTATTGCCTAGAGAGCGGGAAACACTACAAGAGGGAAATTTCCTCTCTGATACAAAAGTAAATGAATATGGGCCAGCATTGTAGTGCATCAGATTAAGCCATCTTCAATGCTGGCATCCCACATGGATTCCAACTCAAATCCCACTGCTCTGCTTCCATCCAGCTCCCTGCTAATGCACCTGGAAAATCAACAGAAGGTGGCCCAAGTGCTTGAGTTCTTGCACCCATGTTGGAGACTTGGATGGAATTTCAGGCTCCTGGCTTTAGCCAAATGAGCCGTCTGGTACACTCAGCAGATGAAGACCTCTTTCTCCCCACCCCCCGCCCCTGTAACTCTGTCTTTCAAATAAATAAATAAATCTTAATAATCAGTACTATAAAACAAATCCCCAAAATTTAAAAGTATTAAAATCATACAAATTTGACTATTTATCCACAGGGGAATTAAATTGTAAGCAATAACAAAAAGATCTTAAGGGGCTGGTGCTGTGGCGCAGCGGGTTAACGCCTTGGCCTGAAGCACTGGCATCCCATTTGGGCACTGGTTTGAGACCTAGCTGCTCCACTTCCGATCCAGCTCTCTGCTATGGCCTGGGAAAGCAGTAAGAAGATAGCCCAAGTCCTTGGGCCCCTGCACCAGCATGGGAGACCCAGAAGAAGCTCCTGCCTCCTGGCTTCGGATTGGCGCAGTTCCGGCCATTGCGGCACGAACCATCAGATAGAAGACCTCTCTCTCTCTGCTTCTCCTCTGTGTAGCTCTGACTTTCAAATAAATAAATAAATCTTAAAAAAAAAAAAAAAAAGATCTTAAGATCTGCTATTTGGAATTTAAATAACATACATTTCAATAACCCATGGGTCAAAAAGAAATTGAAAGAGAAATAAGAAAATATATAAATTTAAGGAAGAAATCATGCCAATCCTACACAGACTTTTCCAGAAACTTGACAAGGAAGAAATACTTTCCAACTCGATTCTTTAGAACTAAGGGATAGCAAAACCAGCAAAGAAAACTAAAGACTAGTATCCATCATAAACATGTTTTTGTTTGTTTTAGAGAAAGAGAGAGAGAGAGAGAGGTCTTCCATCCGATGGTTCACTCCCCAATTAGCCACAACAGGCGGAACGGCCACAAATGGCCTCAACGGCCGAAGCTGTCCAATACAAAGCCAGGAGCCAGGAGCTTCTTCCAGGTCTCCCATGAAGGTGCAGGGGCCCAAGGACTTGGGCCATCTTCTGCTTTCCCAGGCCATAACAGAGAGCTGGATCGGAAGTAGTGCAGCCAGGACTAGAACTGGTGCCCAAGTGGGATGCCAGTGTTTCAGGCCAGGGCGTTAACCCGCTGCGCCACAGTGCCGCCTCCCAGAAACAAAGTTTTAAAAAATGAAATCCAACAATATTTGTGCATGTGTTCGTGTTTGTGTGTGTTTGAGGTAATACATAATGATCAAGTGTGGCTTACCCCAGAAATGAAATGCTAGTTTACCTTTGAAAATCAATGAGTCTAATTAAGGAACAAACCGTGTGCAACAGTTTTGGTGAATCCCACATCTGTTACGCTAAGTGAAAGGAGTAAATCTCCAGGCCTGCACTGTGGCACTGCCTGCAATGCCAGCATCCCATATTAGTGCAGATTCAACTACTAGCTGAGCTGTTCCACTTCCCATCTAGTTCCCAGCTAAAGCACCTGGGAAAGCAGCAGATCAGCATACATACCTTGTACTTCCATTTATATGACATTCTGAAAAGACAAATCTGTAACAACAGAGAACAGATCAGTGATTGCCTGCATCTTACAGTTGAGGAAGGAACTGATAATAAGGGATTAGTTGAGGGTGGTAGAACAGGTATAAATATCTGTCATGGTGATTACAAAGCTTTAAATGTTTTTTCAGAATTAGTGGAATTTTTCTCTCCTCCCCCAAAATGTGGAATATATGCAGTGTATGTAAAGTAAGAAATTAATTTAAATTAACATGAAGTGATAATTTTTAATCTGAGTGGCTCCTTTATACTACTAGTTCTATATTTGTATATGTTTGAAATTTTATATAAAAAGTAATTTTAAAAGTTAAAAAACTAATAGCAGAAGAGGTCCACAAGGATCATAGAAGTCTAAATTTTACATGTTAAGGAATAAAAGAGAGGAGGATAAAGTAGAAACTATGGAAAGCAAAACAAAGATTGGTCAAAGAAATACCATGAAAATAGTCTGTTGGAAGCCAAAGACTCGGGAATTTGTAATTCAATATAGACAAGAATCAAGTGTGAGCAGTGTAAAAGAATAAATAGGAAGCAGGAGAACGGATAAGGATATCAAAGGCAATTTCATAAACTTTCTTAGAATGTAAATATAAATGCAGATAAGAGATAAGAAAAGTAACAGTAATGAAATGGAAGCAGGATGGACTGTTCTGTCAGAAATTAGTCTTTGAAAGTCTACTGGATTAATTGAAAATACAGACTGGTTCACTGTAAAAACAATTAGAACATTTTGGAGTACCCCAGTATTTTGCAGTTTAAAGTAATGAACTGAATCTTCACTACCTTGCCCTGTTGCTCTGATACTGAAACAAGATAAAACATTAGTCTTGAATGTATAACGTTTATGATAAAAGGCAACTATTGTGCATTGTGTGAAATGAGGTCATCTCACCTTTCTATTTTTGGTCTTACTCTCTAGTACTTGTACTTTTTTGTTTTATTTATTGAGTTTGTATAAGTGTTCTTAGAAAGAAAAGGTTTTGTTCTCTTCCATAAAAAGTTTAAAGACTATGCTTTTAAAGTGTTGCTGGATTTGAGGACTGCTTCCACATATTTAAAGGCAGAGAACACAGTGAAATAGATTAATTTCCACATGCTGATCTTAAATTAACTATTGGAAGAAGAAATATACCTTAATGACGGCAGTGAATTATGACATAATTACTGCAATCAGAAGTTCATGGCATAGATTAGATTAAAGGTTCATAAGAAATTTATCAAGGTTAGAATTTAGCCAAATAATAAAGCTGAAGCCACAGCCCTCCAATTTCACAAAAAAACTCTGGCTTAAAATGAATTTTTAAATATTCAAGTCAATATTTAAGCAAAATTCATCAGCAAAAATCTTAGCTCTAATAAAGTAATTTGGTTGTAAATATCAACTGATTTTTTTCTTATATGTTCCACATTATAAAATAACTTTGTAATCTGGCTTTTCTTTTTTATATCATATTTAGAGAAAATTTTGAATCTGACAGGAAAATAATATCAAGCATTCTCATTTACAGGTCTGCATTACATTTACTGAATTTGGAAAAATGCAAAATATCTGTAACTTTCTTGTTGAAAAGCTAGATAGCTCTGTTGTCATTAGCCCACCGCAGTTTTATCATACTCCAGGTTCTGTTGAGAATCTTCGGTAAGTTTAAGCACTTGTTTAAATAAATTATCAACTTGTTAAATAAAATCATTCATTGCTACATTCTTTGAATGTCATATTGATAACCTTTGCATTTTCATTCCTAAGGCGGCAAGCCTGTCTTGTTGCTGTTGAGAATGCATGGCGTAAAGCTCAAGAAGTCTGTGACCTTGTTGGCCAAACCCTAGGAAAACCTTTACTAATCAAAGAAGAAGAAACAAAAGAATGGGAAGGCCAGGTAGATGACCGCCAGTCATCTGGACTCTCAAATTCACTCACAATACAACAAAAAATCAAAAATGCAACAATGCATGCTGCTTCGAAAGTTTTTGTAACTTTTGAGGTAAAGGGGAAAGAGAGGAAAAGAAAGTATCTCTGAAATTCCAATCAAAATATATTGTGTTTGTATTTCTTACCTATTTTTATACTTTATATAATGTTTTCTTTTATCCTGAATATGTAACTATTACATAATAGATAAACTTTGTCCAAAATATAGTCCACTCTTGAATATAATCCCACAGAATATTTACGTTAACTTTCCATTTCCAAAAATGTACTCTAAGAAATATTCTTGAGAATAAATATATTAGGTGCACACTTGTGTACTGGCAATTCATACAAGTGCATGTGTGAGTAATAGTTCTACAGGGAGAAATATTGAAACATTTATTTCATAATTCTGAGTTTTAAGCTAATATTTTACAGCCATGGTTTAACAAGTTAAAGTCTAAAAATTGTAAGACAAAAGTGTTCATAAATGAAAGGGAATTTTATTTTCCATTAAATTTTTTAAGTTCATCCTATTCAGTCTTGGATTTTATTTTACCCTACTTATAAACTAATATGTTAACCTATTATGTTTTCATGGATGATGAGGGAAAACAGGAAACTCCTGCAATAGAAACAAAGAACTGTTATTCATGACACAGCAAGGAGCAGTAACATCAGCATATTTTCATTGGTTCTCCTCATCCCAAGTTCCAGGAAGGCAATGCAATATGGCCATATACAGCATAACTACACATACAAGGGGGTTTTCATTATAACTGAGGAATACTGATCAGGCTTGGAGGACTCCCTGCTTTTTATCATGAAGAGAATTAACCTGTTCTTTGTCCTGGAGGGAGATACTGCCTTGTCCCTCAAGGATGCTCACTACAAACTCAATCTTAGAAATGGCCAAGGCAAAGAGCAGTCAGTCTTGCCTTCTTGGCATATCCAGCAAGATGTGTAGAAGAATGAGATCCATTAAAGACTACCTCTTCCCACACCCAATGGTTTTCTTAATAGGTGCAGAGACCATTTTATTAAGATATGGAACACTGACTCTTAACTAACAACTTTGCAACATTAATAGAATGATAATGTATAACTTTTAAGAAAAGGTATTCTAGGAAGAACTTTTTTTTTTTTCAATTCAAAATAATATATATATATATATATATTTTTTAACTTTCATTTAATGAATATAAATTTCCAAAGTACAGCTTATGGATTACAATGGCTTCCCCCCCCTTAACTTCCCTCCCACCCGCAACCCTCCCCTTTCCCACTCCCTCTCCCCTTCCATTCACATCAAGATTCATTTTCGATTCTCTTTATATACAGAAGATCAGTTGAGCATATATTAAGTAAATATTTCAACAGTTTGCACCCACACAGAAACACAGAGTGAAAAATACTGTTTGAGTACTAGTTATAGCATTAAATCACAATGTACAGCACATTAAGGACAGAGATCCTACATGAGGAGTAAGTGCATAGTGACTCCTGTTGTTGACTTAACAATTTGACACTCTTGTTTATGGCATCAGTAATCACCCTAGGCTCTTGTCATGAGCTGCCAAGGCTATGGAAGCCTTTTGAGTTCACCAACTCTGATCATATTTAGACAAAGTCATAGTCAAAGTGGAAGTTCTCTCCTCCCTTCAGAGAAAGGTATCTCCTTCTTTGATGACCTGTCTTTCCACTGGGATCTCACTCACGGAGATCTTTCATTTAGGTCATTTTTTTTTTTTGCCAGAGTGTCTTGGCTTTCCATGCCTGAAATACTCTCATGGGCTTTTCAGCCGGATCCGCATGCCTTAAGGGATGATTATGAGGCCAGAGTGCTGTTAGGACATCTAACATTCTATGGGTCTGCTGTGTATCTCGCTTCCCATGTTGGATCGTTCTCTCCCTTTTTTACTCTATCAGCTAGTATTTGCAGACACTAGTCTTGTTTATGTGATCCCTTTGACTCTTAGTCCTATCATTATGATCAATTGTGAACAGAAATTGATCACTGGGACTAGTGAGATGGCATTGGTACATGCCACCCTGATGGGATTGAATTGGAATCCCCTGGTATGTTTCTAACTCTACCGTTTGGGGCAAGTCAGCTTGAGCATGTCCCAAATTGTACATCTCTTCCCTCTCTTATTCCCACTCTTATATTTAACAGCAATCACTTTTCAGTTAAGTTTCAACACTTAAGAATAACTGTGTATTGATTACAGAATTCAACCAAAAGTATTAAGTAGAACAAACAAAAAAATACTAAGAGGGATAACGTATTAAGTTGTTCATCAACAGTCAGGGCAAGGGCTGATCAAGTCACCGTTTCTCATAGTGTTCATTTCACTTTAACAGGTTTCCTTTTTGGTGCTCAGTTGTCACCAATCAGGGAGAACATATGATATCTGTCCCTTTGGGATTGGCTTATTTCATTCAGCATGATGTTTTACAAATTCCTAACAGGGATCACTTTTCAGTTAAAATTTAAACACCTAAGAATAATTGTGTGTTAATTACAGAGTTCAACCAATAGTACTAGAACAAAAAAAAAATACTAAAGTGGATAAAGTATTACATTGTACATCAACAGTCAGGACAAGAGCTGATCAAGTCACTGTTTCTCATAGTGTCCATTTCATTTCAGCATGTTTCCCCTTTGGTGCTCAGTTAGTTGTTGCCAATCAGGGAGAACATATGATATTTGTCCCTCTGGGACTGGCTTAATTCACTCAGCATAATGTTTTCCAGATTCCTCCATCTTGTTGCAAATGACCGGGTTTCATTGTTTTTGACTGCTGTATAGTATTCTATAGAGTACGTGTCCCATAATTTCTTTATCCAGTCTACTGTTGATGGGCATTTGGGTTGGTTCCAGGTCTTAGCTATTGTGAAATTTGTTTGTTTATTTAAGACAGAGTATTCCCATCCACTGTTCACTCCCCAAATGCCTACAAGGACCAGGAGTAGGTTGAGGCCAAAGCCCAGAACCAGGAATTTAATACAAGTCTCCATGTGAGTGTCAAGAACCCAATTACTTGAACTATCACCATTGCCTCCCAAGGCCTGCATTAGCAGGAAGCTGACAGCAGGAATCAGGGTTAGGTATTGAATCCAGGTACTCTGATGTGGGATCGATTGGCATCTTAACTACTAGGCTAAATGCCCATGCAAGGAAAATATTTTTATGCCAAAAATAAAAGATAATATATGGATTAGATTCCCTTCAACAAGGCTTCATAGAATTGTACAATACAATGCAAGCCACATATATACTTTAAAATTTAAAACAAACCAATTTTAATAACATTTTATTTAACCCAGTAACCCAATGTATCCAAAATATTATTATTTCAGCATGTATTTGATATTTTAAAATAAATGAGATACTATGTTCCTTTTTTTGTATTGTCTTCAAAATTCAGGGTATATTTTACATTAAGGCATCCTTCAATTCAGATGTTAAATTGTCATCACAAATACAGGTAGAAATAGTCATATACCCAAGTTCCAGATATGCTTAAAAAATCAGAAAACTGGATCAAGAATCAGTTTTCAATTAATTAAAATTAAATAATATTTAAAATTCAGTTCCTCAGTTGCAGTAGTCACATTTCAAGTACTTGAGGATCCTAAGTGTAGTCACTACCTTTTTGGACAGTTTAGGCTCATATACTGAGATAACAGTGATCCTTAAGGCTATCTGAAATTTACTTGTCATTTTCATTGCATTACATACTATTCATAAGCAGTCATAATCCATGTTTATTATGTAGCATGGACTTTCCATTCTCCATACATCTAGGTCATAGAGTTATTTGATATAATCTTGATACGTACCAACATATTTTTACAACAATATGTTCCAGGATATATTTTCTATTCATACCTACTTGGAATGTCGTTAGGGGGAGGAAGTGTGGAACTAAGAAGAAAAATTTGAATCCAACACCACTATATGTAAATACTGACTTTATTACTGGAATGTTCGCTCCTTGAGAATAAGAGTCTTGTCCGTCTTATTGACAGATGTATTCCCAGCCGAGAATAGGGGCAGGGCTAACACCAAGTATGCTCTCAAATGTATGCTGAGCAAACTCACCAGTTGTATAAAATTGACATGACACTTTAAGCTCTCTAGTTTCCTCTTTACTTACCAATATAATGAGGTTAAAAATACCTACTTTGTGGTGTTACTGTAAGGATTGAAGTTGATAACAAAAGACCACTAAGCAATGTGGCATGTAGCAGTACTCAGTATGTGGTGCCCATTATATTAGCTGCATTATTAGATTATTGTCAACCCAGTTAAAAGTTGGCTTTTCCAAATCCTCCAATAAAATGAATTTTAAAATAGTCATACTGAAAATAAAGTTATCAGAAAAGTAGTTTAAGATGTTGAATTCTTATTTCCAAAGAAAAGTTAAATTGTGCCTTTGCTTTTATTTATCCACTTGTGTAAAAATTAAGTAGAATTAGGGCTCTACATCAAGAAAACAATGTTCATATTCACCAAAAAATCATATGGGTAGATTTTTCTTAGCCATGCTTAATAAAATATTTAGTGCATCACAATTCATAAAGAAGGCTTTCAATTTGACATGAAATACTCAAAGAAAAAAATTTTGTTAGCACACACTGTTGAGCATATACAGGAATTTTTACAGATGTTCCTTAAGAAAAATTCTGTAAAATGTTCTGCCCTACACATCTATAGAGAAGGTAAGGGAGGTTCTCCAGAGATTGAACTGCTGTATGTGTGGCATCCTGTACAAGGATACTTAAGACTGAGGGTGTCCAATTTACTTGACACTCGTCAGTTTAATTTGTGATCCACGGCATACACTGCAGTCTCACTCACAGTGCATCATTTAGGGAACCTGTGCCACAAAGTCTGCAAAAATAAACCTCTCCTGAACTTAATCCTGACAGAATTTCTTTCTTCTGAACTTTCCTTAAAAAAAAGTTCCAGGAAGCAAAGAATTACAATTCTGCTCTCAGAAAGAAAAAAAAAATTCTACTCAAGATATTTGGAATAGACCTACTATATTCTGAACTCCTTTTTAAATAGAAGTAGTATTAATATACAGTTTCTATATATTATAGATAAAATTTATAATTCTGTTCAATTACACACTAGAAGTCATTTTTTGTTGTAGCAATCTATGTTCCTTTTATTATTATTCTTATTTGATAGTTTGAGCTTAATGTAATTAAATAAGAAAGACTTGGAAAATAATTTGTAATTCAAGATGCTATATTTCATCTTATAATTATTGTTATATTTTCTTCGGAAAAGAAGGCCAAGCATATCACAATCCCCTCGGATTTTTTGACAAAAACAGGGAGGAGTTCTTAGAGCCTCCAAAAGTAAAAACATAAATTATGAGGTCAAAAGTGGGAGTTAATATATGATTATTAAAGTGTAATGGAAAACAAATGCTTTAGTATTCATTCCAGGAGAAAAAAAACTATAAATGAATTAAAACAGTTGCTTTAAGCATATGATATTTGAAACCAAATAA